GGGTTGCCACCTATTTTAAAATTTTAACTCAGTCAAATTGATAAAATTAATAAATATAAAAATGTTTTGTTCGTATGTCACGGTCGTCAAATATCGAGAGCGGCTGAACCGATTTGAATATTTTTTTTTTTGTTGTTCGGTATAATACCAGAACCAATGATATCGCAAAAAATTGGAGGGTTGCCACCTATTTGAAAGTTGTTAAGCCATTATATTGATAAAATAAATAAATTATTACAATATGTGTATCAAATTAAAGAGGTTTAAGAAAGATAACTGCTGGAAATATTTTTGACGAGGGTTGCCACCTATTTTAAAATTTTGACTCAGTCAAATTGATAAAATAAATAAAATGTTGCAATGTGGATACAAAATTAAGTAGGTTTAAGAAAGATAACTGCTAGAAATGCCTTTGAGGAGGTTTGCCAACTATTTGAAAATTTTAACTCAGTTAAATTGACAAAGCAAATAAAATATTGCAATGTGGGTCTAAACTTAAGAGTTTTAAGAAGGCTTACAGCCGAAAATATGTTTGAAGAGGGTTGCCACCTGTTTGAAAATTTAACTAAATTTAATTGGTAAAATAAATGACATATTAAATATAATAATCAAATTAAAGGAGTTTAAGAAAGGTGACTGTAGGAAATACTTTTGAGGAGGGCTGACACCTATTTTTATTTTAGCTCAGTTAAATTGACAAAATAAATGAAATATTGCAATGTGGGTATTAAACTTTAGATTTTTAAGGATTACAGCCGAAAATAAGTTTGAGGAGGGTTGCCACGTGTTAGAAAATTTGACTCAATATAATTGATCGCTGTAGTGTAGTGGTAAGCAGTGCGCGCTTACACTCCGCAGGACCCGGGTTCAAACCCTGGTCAAAGCAACATCGCAAAAAATATAGAAAAAAGGTTTTTTCTTAACAGCGGTCGTCCGTCGGCAGGCAATGGCAAACCTCCGATTGTATTTCTGCCATGAAAAACAGCTTCTCATAAAAATACAATCGCCGTTCGGAGTCGGCGTAAAACTGTAGGTCCCTCCGCTTTGTGTGACAATATCAAGGCG